CTAAGTTATTGATGACAAATTTCTCAATGAGTTTGAAGCCGATTTTTTCTCGTAAAATATCTGCTGTTGCTTTATATACCAAAGTTCGTGAAAGTCGTTAATTGTCATGTACTGAGAATATCGATCGACCTAGCGCGAGAGGGCCGTGGTATTCACCTATTATTTTTATTCAGCCACGTATCTTGTTGCACATCTCGTGGATGTAAAAACAAAATGTACCAGCAACAACTATTTAATAAAAACAAGACATTATACGCCGAAATAAAATATGGAAATAGAAGCGGTTTCCGTAATTTTATGTACGGGAGATACGATATTAAAAATTACGTTTGAATCGATTCATTTCTTATGCTCCTTGTCATAAAATACAACACAAACTCAGCCATTTACACATGTATATGTATTGCATCCACCTTCGAGATAAAAGAACAGTATTAAAATTGTCTCAAGATATACCTACAACATTTTCTTTTAATAATATTGCGTGCGTGCGTGCAGTGTGTATGTGTGTTCTCACATACGTGTACATATATCATTAAAATAAAAAATAAATACGAACTATCGTATTTTTTGATTGCAAATTAAATTTGAAAAAAGCGTGTATTTTGAGTTACATGACGATTAAAATTCATGACATATATTTAGCATTTAAAATTATTTCAAAAAGTAACATTAAAAGTTAAAGAGTACACTGAAAGAATATGCATAAATTTTTTATATCTAGTTTCAGAGAATAAAAACAATTTTTCACACTGAAGGATCTCGGGAACATAGAGATACATCGCATTATCTACGCATTCAACTATTTCCATTTCAAATATTCCTGACTTTGACACACTACCCGGCGATCAATACGGTAAACTGGGATCATGAAAAGTTGAACAGGTATTATGTTGGTGGCTTTTAACGCAAATGTCTCTTCATGTTTTCTGTCATAATATATGCCAATCATATTTAAAGCTATTCGCGCGCGTGTGTTGATTATTTAAAATTTATAAGAAACAGCCCGTATGATGTACCGTTCATTTTGAATCAGGTCCACGCGTGTTCGAGATCTAATTGTTCATTATCGCCGGTAACACGTACTTCTATACAGTCCCATGAATATTTTAAACGACTATTACACCGTAGAAATGTTATCGTTGAGTCAATGGTGTAATTCGAGCGTTTACCTGTTAACTCTGTATTGTTCTTTACATTTTGCATGTATACGCAATAAAACAAGAAGATATGACATTCCGACAATGGAACATTAAAACGATCGTTAATAAAATACGTAAAATGAAGAAAAAAAGACGTTAATTATTTTTAATATTGATGTGCTTGAAGAAACTTTCCGTTATAATGTAATTCAATTATGTGCGCCCGCGCGATAGCATAAGTTATTAAAAATATTAAATTGCGGTAATAAATAGTGAACCATTATAACATTAAAATTTTTTTAAAAAGTAAAAATTTCACTTTTTAAAAATAATTTACAATCACACATACACATGCATCAATTTGAAGAAATTACATAGTTAAATCTCAGCAAAGACTGAAATACAATGAAATTATATATTTGCTGGATTAGAAAATAAATTCCAACAGACGCGAAAATTTGTCAGGGAATTTGGAGATATTTGACATTAACCCTCTGTCGACACAATGTTAAATTTTAAAGATATAGTTGATTTGTTAACTATGAGTTATCTAATACATAAATTTAAATCTGTAAAAAATAAGTAAAATAAACTTTTAATCCAACTTTTATGATATTAAAAAAAACTTGTTAAAATATGTAAGAATTTTTTTCAGATTTTTATACAGTCCGGAATACTGTAAAAATCTGTACTGAAGTTCGAAGATTCAGGGTGAAGATTGTGGACAAAGAGTGAAAATTTTACATTGTCGACAAAGGGTTAAGTCAAAGTAAAAATTAATTAAAAAAGATTAAAAAAACATCGATTAAAAATGATAGTAGCGCAATAAATTCCAATTCCATTCCAAGTCAATGCTAACTTTAAATCTAAAAATTGTAAAAAAAAAAGAATCAAGAAGTCGATATATTCTTTATATATTTGTTGTTCGCATGAGAAGAGAAATTTTCCGGATGGCGGACGTGTTGGGCTATACTCTTCGCCAGGTATAACTTTTTCGCCTCGATGCGCTAACAATGCGCACGTGATTCTATCGGGATAACAATACGACCTCGCAGCGTTCCTTCCTGGTCGGCTTACGGGAAATTGTAGATGAGGCACGATTACGTATTCCGATCGTACGCGATATCAGTCCGCCTCACTTCTCACTCGTGATGGAGTGTTTTCTACTCTCGACCCTTACTCTCTCTTCCGTTTCTTTCCCGTCTATCTACCAAATACTTTACCGAATTCTATCCTAGCGAGTTCTTTCCTTACCAGGGCTATCTCGATAAATCGTAGTACCTGGTGTAAAGTTAAAACGCTCTCACAGTCTATTTCTATTACATATATAAAATAAATTTTACGTTATTCTATTATATGTGTATAAAATTAATTTCACGTTAGATTTAGATATATTCTAATTATAATATGAATACTATACATTTTTTTACAAACTCTCAATTAGACTACAATCATACAAAATCATTTTTTTAAATTTTATCAAATGATTCGTATAAATTAATAAAATCAGACGTTTAATAAAAAATGAAGACAAAAGATTGAAAATGATCAGCTATCACAACTATACCTAAGTTCTAAAGTATCCTGTTTGAAGTAATGCAATTGAATTTCCGTCTTATCGTTGATAGAGCAAGGTTCAAAGTTTTTTTTACCTATAGTTTAGGATCTTATAGTACCAATTGGATTATATAATTGTCCAAAAAATTTCGCTTCAGATCCAAACGATAAATGTTGCTATAGTTGAGGATTAAGATAATAACTTATTGGAATAGCTATAATTATATACAAGATTTTTAATTAAAAGTGAGAAACAAGCTTCCAAAAATTCTAATTACGGCGCAATCATCTTCATCGTCCCTTTTCTCCACGATCAAAGTCACAATCGCAATGCGCTGAAAACCGCCACGTATGGCACGTGAATCTACTCGGACGGATAACGAATTCCGAAATCGGCTCGGCAGCCTGCGAAATTAACAACCGCGCCAGGTCACGCCGATAATTGCGGACTCCGTTTTAAGCCGGGGGCCATAATAACCAAACGGAGCCCTTTAACAATTCGCGCACATGTTTCATTCGTTTGTTCACTCGCAAGGGAAACAACGTACCGATCCGCGCATGATATTTGTCTTCCGGGGAAAAAATATTCCATATAGTTTACTGCGAGTTTCAAAGTAAACCAATCCACCTATTCGTGTAGTCGCGTTTTCATCTCGATATAGCCTGACGCGATTCATAAACGGCCATCAGACAAAATACTCCGCAATCCGTGTGTTTCGTTTTCGGAATACGCGTCATGCATCTTATTATATCATGCAACTATGGTTGCATCAAAAGTATCGCTCGAAACTAATCGCCTTTTGTAATCATATAAAATCTGTAGTCACTTAAAACGTTTATTCGATTTACTTGTGGAAGGTAGAAGAAAAAAGTTTGCTACCATCGTCTTTGATTGCGGAGACGAGTGGCTATTCAACGAGAAAAGAAGAAGAGTTTCATGCAATCGTAGCGTCACGACGTCCTTCACAATTTATTTGCACTAGCCGTTTTATCTTACCTACGATCATCCTCTAATTATAACCATCATTGTCGATAAAACGTTTGAAATATTGAAAGCGAACAATCGATCCCAGCGGCAATCCCCCGTTCTATTCCATTCTCAATTCCCGGTATTCGCCAGTGTGTTTATTTTACGAATGGATAGGGCGGTTCTTCCGTTGGTGAAGAAGGTCACGGGAAGGGTTTGAATTATACCGGACCGGTAATGACGTCAGCGAAGATAATCACATGCCTCGCAACGGTCAGTTCATCATCGCGGTATCACGGTCTAACTGATACATCGTGGAACCCCCGCACGAACCTGAGAGCCGGACGCAGAAAACAGAATGTATGAGTCAGGGTGGGAAAAGGAGAGGAAGGGTGAGAGAGAGAGAGAGAGAGAGAGAGAGGAGGTCGACCTTTTCCAACCCTACCGAGCTCAACATCTCCGCAGAACGTGGTAGGAACTTTATTAGCAGTGGAAAAATGAAGTAAAAGACGCAACAAGCAGCATAGAATATAGACGTCCACTCAAACGTGGTTCCGTCGAGCTCGTTACCACATACATATTATCATACTTTTAAATTTAATTACACAAAACGGAGATTGCTCAGAACTAAAAAATATTTCGACATTCATTCTCACATTATTTCTGATGACCTAATAAATCTGCGCTATTAAATAAGAAATCTGGTTGTATTAATTAAAAATGTTAAAAATATTATTTTTAAAAATCAGTAATAATAACGATAACAGTAATATGTATTAAGTTCTTTTCTGTTTTATCTATAACTAATTTGTAATTTGTTATACAAAGCAGCCGACTTAATGGGTGATTTTTATGAATCGTTTGCCATTTATCGTTAGAATCATCCTATTACATCGTATTTTATGCTATATTTTAACTTAAAAATATCTCAAAGTGCCATTTTTCACACTTAAATCTTTTCGGAAATATGATGTAAAAGAGCACTTTTATTAGTAATTTTGCTAATAAAGGTCAATTTTATTAGCAAATTTGCTTTCAACGACTATCTATAGAATTAGGAAAAACGAAAAGACCTATAAGAATTATCTCATTCAGTTTATGAACTGAAATAATTTTTAATTTATCAGATTACTATTGTTTACAGCGTAAACAAGGTAATTAATGTAATAAAGTTCATGTGTATGTAACTATACAAATATCCAGATATAACATCACGAGAAATACAAGGGATAATTTTTTGTTTACATCGAGCTTGTATATAAAAGTGCTATTGCAATTGATAATATTGATGAGAATATATTTTTAATAGAATATTCTGCGTTTGTGTATTTCAGGTGCTTTGCAGATCACCGAATCCGACGTAAGCGATCAAGGAAAATACGAATGCGTTGCTAACAATTCCGTAGGCACAGAGTACTCCAAGTCAACTACGTTATACGTAAAAGGTAATTTAACATATTTACGAATGCTTGCATGCAAATATTGTAATGCAGATGATATTAATTAATTTTCGTAATTATAATTAATATAATTTTTCATTGTCTTTGTTTTAGAGAAATCTCTTTCTTTAATGGTATTCTCACGTAATAGCTTATAAGATACAATATTATAAATAAGAAAAAGGAAAAATATTCTAATAAAAATCAACAGATTTGAAATCGTAAAAAGACAATGTTGTCGTTGTTCAAATAATTAACGTAGCTCGTCGTACAGTCACGTCAATGCCATAAACGTAGACGTTTTCCTGTTTGTAATTAAAATTAATGCAACGCAATTAGAACGTAATTAAACTAAACGGGCCGCACAAAGGGCTCGAGCGACTCACGTAGCGTGTGTTACGCGTCGAGACTTTCCCTTGCTTGCGTTCTTACCACGATCTCGAATCCCGATGGTTACGCGTTTTTGTTTAATCACCGCTATTTACAAAATCTGCGCAACGGCTTTACAAAATAATCGTTCAGAGTTTTGTGCTTCGCGAATTTTCGCTGTGTATAGTTAATTTTCCATCGTAAAACGTGCACACGTAATTATTCCCTAATTGGATGCGCCTATTTGCATTTCAATTTAATATGTTACTCGTAAATAAATAATCACATGCTCTTAATCAACGTAATGTAACTTATTTGCTGCCAATGATTATGCATATAATCTAAAGATATTATTCCCTTCAAAAGTGATACACTTGATTAAACATTTAGAAGTTTTCATGAACTACTTGAAAATTTCAATGAGCAAATAGAAATATTAGCTCTTGCATCTTATTTTGGTATAATTCTTATGTCAATGCAAGATGAATCTAAATTTAAAGAAATCGAAAAATTGAAAAATATTCGATTGAATAAAATTTAATCAATTAAAGAACAGAATATTCATCCTGACGATTGTATTGTGCTTCAGTACGTCGTGTTTCACCAAGCTTCTCGATTCCTCCACCGACGGTGAGCGAGGTGATGTTAGGCGGTTCGCTGAATCTCACTTGTGTCGCCGTGGGTGCGCCCATGCCCTACGTCAAATGGAGAAAGGACCCAGCAACCGATTTGACGCCGGAAGACAACTTGCCAGTTGGCAAAAATGTCTTGATGCTGATTGACATCAAAGAGTCCGCCAATTACACATGCACGGCCGCCAGCGATCTCGGTGTAATTGACGCAACCACAATGGTGAAAGTTCAATGTTCGTATCGAATTTTTTTACTTAGGATATTCATAATCGGTTGTTATATTTAAGATCGTCTTAAATATAGTCTTAACACGTCATAACCCAATCACAGTATTAGTATCTTAAAACGGTCTTAAAATAAGAACGGAGTATGAACTTTCCTTAAAGTTATTTCTTAGAATTAGATAGATAAACTTTTTATGGATCGCTTTTTACCAGCTCATGGATTAAGTGATGCGAATCGATTAATCACGCGTTGCATTCATTAGATAAAATAATCTAGCAGCTAGTTTAAATTTTGAATATGATTTAGCAACAACTGCTATCGTAAGCCGAAAAGCAATTTACGTCTGAGAACTCTCTCTCTCTCTCTCTCTCTCTCTCTCTCTCTCTCTCTCTCTCTCTCCCCCCTCTCTCTCTCTCTCTATTTGGAAAAGGATTTTCATAAATATTTTTACTCTTACATATCATGGTTAATAAATTTAGCGTTTATATTTTTTCTAGAAGTTCTCAAATGTTGCGACGTTTACACTCACTTCGCATGCTTGAATAAATGATTTCATTCTGTGTACCTTAAGACGCAATATTTATAAATGATAGAGAGATAAAGCTGTACTAATCTAACTCTCCCGCAGCTCTTCCCGGTCCACCGGAGAACGTTCAAGTGTCCGACATCACTGCGACGTCGGTGAAGCTGAGCTGGTCCTACAAAGGACCGGATGAGCTGCAGTATTACGTAATTCAGCATAAACCGAAGCATGTGAACCAGGCATATGCCGAGATATCTGGTATCACGACGATGTACTACCATGTTAGGAGTCTCAGTCCTTATACGGAGTACGAGCTCTACGTTATAGCCGTGAACAGCATCGGGCGTGGTCCCCCAAGTGCCCCGGTGATAGTCACCACTGGTGAAACAAGTCAGTACTACAGCATTTACTATCGCATTGTTTTCTAGCCATTTTTATGCTTCTAACTTGGATAGAAACGATTATTTCCCTTCTTACAATATATGATTTACGCTCACAATTGCCTCTCCGGTTTTAGGCTGGAGACTCTGGTTTTTTGAACTAATCTTTGCCTCTTTGGTAAATAAAAAAAGTTTCCAGCTTATCGCTCATAATTTTGATGACCTTTTTTAAATGTTGATTTTCCTCCGAAAATTTCCGACAGGAAATTAGGTCTGGTAACTTTTTTGTGGTGATAATTGATCTTTGGCAAAATTGTACGATCTCTAATGGAGCACCAGTTCAAAGGAATCATAAATCACGTTTCTAATCTTGTAACATTTATTAATTAAAAAATTGAAAATTTTCAAACACCAATTGTTTATGTTGTATATATCTAACAGTAGATCAGCAGACTTAACATCTAATATCATTATAGGATTGCTTGTAGAGAGATTTAAAAAAGATTTTCTTCTAATTCGCCGCTTTCATGCCAAATTAATAAATGAGGGAAAATATCGTTTCTACAGAAATGCTTCTTATTTTATCAGCTTTTTTTTTATCGTAATCTTGAATTCATTATTCAATCAAGTTTTATAAAAAAAAGTAACAGCATCTATTAAATCAATCATCTTTAACGTACACGTAAATTAGATTGGGCGTCTGTATCATCGACCGCTTATACGACAAATTAAACCCATTCATAAATCAACTCACATTTCATTTCTGCGCTTCGCAATGAACATACGTGCGACTCGCAGTAAAGTCCGCCGGTTAAAAAACGCGAATACACTTCGAACTCGACGATCCTTTTTTTCGCGTATCCATAATCGCGAGGATCGAAGGTAGTAACGTAAAGGTGTAGTGAAGGAACGGCACTACTTCGACATGAGCGTGAATTTTTTGCACGTAGATAGAATTTTTGTACACACCATCGAGAAAGATGAGCGAATTTTTACGCACATTTTTTGAGGGAAAATTCTGTGTTTTTTCCATGCTGTCCGTCGCGGACGCACGATTTGATCCATGTAAGTGACAAGAAAATTTTTTTCACCTATCACCCTCTTCCCCAACTGCTCTTTGTTGCACCAGTGTATTAGTGTTTTTGCGGGGCCGTTCCACAACGTTTCGTCGCGCTTCGACGTCTCATGTCATTTGTGTATTTTTACTATATCCCCAACCTCTACATCCTCCAACCTCTCACTACCTCTTTCACCTATTTCTTTCTCTCTCTCTCTCTTTCTCTCTCTCTCATTCTCACTCTCTCTTTCTCTTCTATCTCTATCTCTGTCTCTGATACACGTCTCCATCTCCTATTTTCTTTTTTGCAAAAGAGGGGAAGAACGCGAGAAACGAGTACGCGGGGAAGACAGCACGCGAAATTGCACCTTTCCTAACAGAATAGTATAGCACACTTCTCACCTCGTGAAAATACGAAGGAGACACGTACTCTCGCAATTCGTATTTTCACTTCGCATTTACTACCCATTTATGGCCGGTATTCATAGTCGGTTCTTATATTTAAGTCTTAGTACAATCTTAAGTATAGTCTTAAGATGTCATAAATCAATCACAAAGCTGTTATTAACGTCTCAAGACTTTACTTAAGACGGTCTTAAAATAAGAACCGATTATGAATATCGGCCCATATATCGAGAATTGATAATAATCGTTTGACTTTTTTTAATAGCGGAATCGACAAATGGAGGTGCCAGTAAGTCAAATCATATACTAAGAGTGCCGTAGTGGTACACGATTTCTTCGCTTATTCCTATGTAGTTTTTGATTTTAGTTTCCTCTCATTTCGTTACTTTGCGCACACACGACTGTTATTTTCGTTGATACATATACGTGCACTTTGTCACTTTTAATATACATCGTTACATGCACACCTGCGTCTGGAAAAAGACGATTATGCCGAAGCATCTAAAAATTGAGTTAAATACAAATCTGAAAACAATTTCGTTGGAATCAGAATAATTACCTATGTAGGACACTCAAACTGATTGCTGGAATGTCGAAACTTTTTGTAGCATTGCTCATCATGCTTGAAATTCCTATGTAATTATTTTGTTGGTCCAACAAAATTATTTTCAGAACTGTATCTAGTTGAATTTTTAGATATTTCAGCAAATTGTTCTTTCCGTGTATCTTTGTACTTAATTGCGTCCAGTATGAATTTTTAAAAACGTATCCATTTATCACCGTAGTGTCGTAGTGACGAAAAATAGAATTTCATCTTTTCTCTATATTTACATCGCACCTGGCTTCTTACAGTTTGTTTTTTGAAGGGTCTTTATTTTTAAAGGATTTCTTATCGTGTGACTAACTGACGTGTACTGCCCTTCCACGGCTTCGTGTGTATTTTGGTTGCTTTTCGTCTGGTCTTCCTAATAATGCTAAAAACCTGTTAATCTCTTTTTTAGAACCCGGTACAGCACCGCGGAAAGTTCAAGTACGGCCGTTGAGCTCCAGCACGATGGTCATACAGTGGGATGAACCGGAAACTCCGAACGGTCAAGTGACGGTCGGTGTCTTTTCCGAAATTACCTTTCAAATAACTTTTCTGATTTTTGCGACGATTATCGCTAACGAACGTGTGATATGTCTCTCCATAGGGATACAAAGTGTATTACACAACGGATTCGAATCAACCCATGGCGTCGTGGCAATACCAGATGGTAGATAACAGCCAGTTGACAACCATCTCGGAGCTGACGCCGCATACGATTTATACCATAAGAGTCCAGGCGCTTACGAGCGTCGGTCCTGGACCTCTTAGTCTGCCGGTGCAAATCAAAACACAGCAAGGGGTACCGAGTCAACCCGAAATGCTAACGGCGGTCGACATCGGGGAGACCAAAGTAACGCTCCAATGGAGCAAGCCCGCTCATAGCGCTGAGAATATTCTCAGCTATGAGCTGTATTGGAATGACACTTACGCAAAGGTAGATAGTTATACATTTTTAATAGAGGTAGACAATTACACGTTTTAAATAAAGGTCTTCGCACTAATTATATGGGAAATTAGGTCCTGGTGAAATAAATTAGTTTTCACATATAATGCAGCTTATAATGTGATGAACAAAAGATGTTATAGACTGATATAGACACAAGCCTCAATAATGAACATTTTTTATGCTGTGATATATCGAAAGTGCTCTATGAACAAATTTTTTTATCTTTGATACACCGCTTAAAAACTATCCATTATTAAGCCTTTTATAAGATATTTTTGTTCACCATATTATAAGTTATATCATCTGTGAAAACTAACTCACTTTCACCGGGACTCAATTTTCCGTTGTAATTAGTAAATTACCCCGTATTAATTATATGGAAAATTGAGTCCCAGTGAAATAAATTAATTTTCACATATGATTTTATATCTTATAATGTGGCAAACGAAAGATGTCATAGACAAAAAGCTCAATAATAGATAGTTTTTTAATTATGTATCAAAAGTGCTCGGTAAACATAAATTTTTATTTAATCGGGACCCAATTTTTCATATACAATTAATGCAGGTTCCTTTCCTCTTTTTATCGATAGAGTGCATCGCCCTATTTTGCGATTACGTACCACGCATTGTGCCTTAATCCTAATAATATTAATTGGACAGTGATATTAAAGAAAATGAATGAATTTTTTTAATCGTTCGGAATAGAATAGACTGAAATTCGGAAGATAATAAGATTTTAGAGTTTTTAAAGGAGCGGTTTTAAAAGCGATGATTAATCTATCCAATCTAACGCATTCGGCATATCTGCTCGAATCAGGAAAAGCATCATCGCAGGATACCGGTCACCGAGAACTATACTTTGACCGGCCTATATCCGAACACCTTGTACTACGTATGGCTGGCTGCGAGGAGTCAAAGAGGAGAGGGTGCCACGACGATACCGTATCCGGTTCGCACCAAACAGTACGGTAAGCAGAACGCGCACGAATGCATACGAAATCGAATGAGTTCATGCAGCGAGGAGTGCCAGACGCATGCTGATACGCGATTGTCACGAGGTCGTAAGGCGGTCGACCATCCGATATTCCATACATCACGTAGTGATGTCGGGTAGGACGCACCTGAGTCTTTTGGATCCTCATGCATGATCGCGTATCGCGATGGCACAGCAGGTAGGAGGTGCTGTAGCGCTAGACGCTCCTGCAAGTAGCGTAAGCTATCGACGCACAACACCTTGGAAAGAGCCTTTGAAAAAAAGAAAGCGAAGACCTTTCGTCTTCGAGAACGCGTTTAATAATGAAAGTGAAAAGGAAAAGAGAGCGTATAAAAAGAAAGGGAAAGACAGAAAAATAGAGAATAACGTTGAAACAAGTGAAGTGTGGGAGAGTGAGAATGACTGCATGCGTTGCAAATAAGAAAGCCGTTTTTGGATGCCACTTTATATATATATCTATATATATACGTACATATCATACATATAAATTGCACTAAGCACTGCATTGATATATGTGTGCATTTTGGGCACCTCTTTTCATTCTCGATAACATGATTGATTTATCGTCCGTTCAGTTTTTCGTTGTCTCGTTCCCTTGCAATTATATAAACGTATAACTCGTTAACTCTGCGGATTATACGCCCGAGTTAACACAAACCGCTCCGGGAGAACTGTCTCTAATCACGTCTTTTTTCGACTGTTCAAGGATCGATTCATGATTTTTTACCTTGAATATTTTACACCTCTCTGAACCTTGGCCAAACATACCATTTTGTTGGTATCCCTCGGCAATCACCGTCGACTGTGCGCTCGTCTCAGTGTTGAGGAAATGTCAAATCGAGAAATACGAGAACTCGTCGCGTGGCGTATTAATCGACCTATCATCCGCTCATATGTGAAAAATGTCTGATATTACTATTACAATTTTCATTTTAAAACAAGAAGTATCTAAATTTATGAAATTTTATAAGATTACTGATTATAAAGTTTAGTTTTCATTCATTGATAATTATGCGACTACAAAGTAACAGTAATCACGCTCCACGACGATAATTAATGAATTTTAATGAACGCAACTTTTCGTATCTTCACCTTTGACCTCAAGCTAGAGACCAGTACGATCGGCCGGTAATTATCGATTATGATCCCCGATTTTGTTTTTTTTTCCCCTCCTATAACTGAGTGTTATACAGTCCCCGGGGCTCCGCCTCGCAATGTAACCGGCAAAGCGATCAGCCCGACTTCTATATTGGTATCGTGGGAACCGCCGGCCGCTGAACGCTCCAACGGGAGGATCACCTACTACAGGCTGCAAGTCGTCGAGAGCGGTCGCTCTGACTCCGAGGCGAGGAATATCAAACTGAATGACACGCGTTTCGTGTTGGACGAGCTCAAAAAGTGGACCGAGTATCGGATCTGGGTATTGGCCGGGACCAGAGTAGGTGACGGGCCTCCGAGTTATCCTATCTCGGTCAGAACTCACGAGGACGGTATGTATCACAGATACTGACTGAAAGTCTTTCTGTTTATCTCAGGCACGCGAGGAGTAACGTGTAAAATCCGTGGTGACACACAGCGCGAGAGGGTGAATACTATGTTCTTCTCAACAGCTATCGCAATATACTAATTGACAGAAAAATAAAAAGAGAGAGAGAGAGAGAGAGAGCGATACGATCTCGATGTCTACGTTATAGAACAAACATGTAAATGATCGTAATCGCGACAGAAAAACCTCAACGCCGCGGTCGCTACGAATTTCACACGCTAAGCTTCGCGAGGAAGGAATATTATATTGGGATGAAGTAACTAACGCGCCTCATCCGAGAGCCAAAAATATAAAAGCCCGCCAAAAGTCAGTCCGATTATATTCTCGCGCGGTTCCAGTGCGGGTTGCGACGACACGCCGCGTATTATTCTTGATCCGGTGAATGCATTACGTAATATAATATACATTACTGTATACTTTCGATTTCAGATTACGCTAACGTCACTTCGTCACCTGTCTCTCTTCCCGAACTCTCAAATAACCAGATACTCTCTCTCTCCTTTATCACGATTTTCTGTTCTGTGTCCTCTATGTCGTATATCTTTTCTCTCCAGTGACTCTACACTCATGTTATATTACATTATATTTACGTTATTACATTCTATTAAATTACATTACATACAATATATTACACTCTGTATTATATTATATATATATGAGCTTTCCTCTTCTCTCACGCCGTTCTTGTGTTACAGTTATAGTTTCGAGAAACGAACTATCGAATCGCCCATCGTGATGAGAGAGGAAAAGAGGACAGACACGGCCCTTTTTTCCGGTCGGGTTACCTTTTTTTTGCGCGAACAAAAGTTTTGAACGCGCACGACTTTTTGTATTTTTCGTGCCTCTCCGATCACGCTACTCCGATCGCTTTCCTATCGTAAAAAAAAAACGGCATCCACGCGAAACACGAAACGATGATGGCCCTACTTTTTTGGCTGGCGAGATTTTATATTTTTGGATTTTTTGCGACAATAAAATCTCCAACGACTTATTCTAGCTTTCCCGAAATCTCCCAAAACGCCCCTATCTCCTAATCCTCTCTTTTAGTGTGCCCACAATCATTTTTTCCAGGTGCACGCAGCCACGGATTTTTCAGAAGCTGATAACCAATTTTTGAGCTCAGCTATCAAAAGATGAAAGAAAAAGAAAGAAACGATTTTCTTACCGTTTTTTACAGGGCCTAATCGCAACTCTCTCTTTGTTCGTTGCCGTTGGTTTTTTTCACTCCCCCCAGCCCCACTTTTAAAACTTGGATATCTATTTTGACACGCTAATTAATATCTAATTATACTCACTCAAGTGTTTTTGTCTTTCCTTAAAGCATTTGCAGGAGGATGATCCAGGTTTTGAACAGCTAGTTTTTAAGATCTATTCACATTATCGTAATATATCAATATTATCTAATAATATGTACTCATTACACTCAGTGTTCTTTCTGGTGGTTACCGTGGTTACGTCAGTAAAGATGTTTCGTTTCTCTTCTTTAGTTTATTAATTCACTCTTGCCACGTGTTATGAAGATAGAAGTCAGGCTGGCTGCCCCGCGTGCCATTATTTTCGATATTTTTTTTCTTTTTTTTTATACCGCCACTAACTGCATAGGCCACATGAAACATGTAAATAACACTAACGAACGAAATTAAATAACAACTTTGTTACACGTGCAACAATCAGACGAAAATAATGGCAACGCGAGGGACAGCTTGCGAGTGAAGCGCTTACGTATATATATATATAAAAACTCTAGCGAATGTTATCTCACACACAAGAATATATATATATGAGACGCACTTTTTCACTATATATATATATATTACACATATATATATTTCTATATCTCTGATATATAAGGCTCTTCTGTCTTTAGTTGAGATTTAGTTCTACCTATCGTTTGCACATGTTTAGAGCATGCCTTCGTTTGTTTAAAAATTCCTCAAAATTCCTACGATCCCAAAAACGCAACCCCTCGAACTTGTCCCGTCTGAAGAAAAGAAAGAAAAATCTGGAACCCTACCTCTCCGTTTCCAATCACCAAAATCCGCCGAACTGTGTCGAGTCTGCGAACATCATTTCCCAATGCAAATACGTTCATATTATATCATCTATATCCTATGAATGGCATGCCGATGCATGAGACAGTTTTGCTTTCTGTTACTTCCCGTCCTTATCCCAACCGAGCGGTATTCCCCAAGGTGCCGATCGATCCAGCATGTCGAACGTTTTTGGTCCCCCTTGTTGCTGAATAACATGTCCAACATGATCCCTCTCTCTCTCATAACAAACGAATTCGGCACCGAGGGAAAAAAAATTGTTTGCACGATATTTATACAGTAGTCGTTGAAAAAATAAATCTCTACGCGGTCGTTAGCCACGATATTTCCCCGGGAAATCATTTAATCGTAACGATAACTTCTCTCGGTGTGCGGAGGAAGGGCGGTGCGGTACGACCGCGATCGTTAAAAGTTTTACAGCGAGTAAGTAGAAACAACGAATTGCGATTGAAAAAAAATAATCGAACGGGAGAGAGTTAGAGAGAGTTGCAAAAAAAAATTGTCCAATAGATTCGAAAGAGAGGGAAGCGTAAGGCAAGGAAAAGATGGAGATGATATACAAATACTATTCTATTTATCTCTAACGGGCTATGAAGACATTCGCGTTGCGACACGTGGAGGGCATTATTTGTCGAAGAGGTATTATACCGCCATGATTGTTGAATGAAAAGTCGTACCGACGCGTCCGTAACGATCTTCCCGTATGCCTTTCACCATTCACCACCATGAAATACTCTCTTCCTCCACGGCCCGGATCCTCTTTCGTTTCTTTACCCTCCTGCCTGCGCTCCTACGATTCCTCGTTCCTGGCATTATCCCGTTCACAGAGCAACTGATCCGGTGCCCATTTACCCTCCTGAAGCAGACTCGGCAGAGCGAAGCGAACCGATAAAAAGCACTACTGAAAGCACCCTGCCGTGTAAGCTCGCACATTGTCAAGCACAAAGATTCACCGTCACGTGTATAGCATATATATATATATATATCTCTATACCTTCTTACGCATACGTTTACTACTATTACTGACTGTCATCGTTCACTATTTACCGAGAGATATTACATTGCTGCTACATAGTATTATATATATAATGTCACGCCGTATATACGTATGTGTGCACGGGCACTTTGCAAAAATCACGTAACGCGCGCCGGCACCGTGTGTTTCACATTTACTTACTTCTCGCACCCACCACGCACGCATACACGCACCCCCGCGGTGCCCACGCGCGAACGTACGCACAAGTGCGTGCGTCGCGTGGTGCTGGCCGCCGTTGGGTGCTTTCCGGCAAGGACACAGTCAGACCACGTGTAATACAGTGAGTCTTTTCATCCTTGTTTAACGTAGGTAAACAACAAGGATGTAATGATTCGCTGTGTTACACTGTGTCTAACTGTTTCCTTGCTGGAAAGCACCAGTTGTAAGTCAGTATCTATAATTGGTTTTTATATTTAAAGTCTTAAGTACAGTCTTAAGATGTCATAAGCTAATCATAGAGTCGTAGTAGCATCTTAAAACATTATTTAAGATGGTCTTAAAATAAGAACAGACTATGAATACCAGCCAAAATGTCGTAAAGCAATCACAGGCCGGTATTTATCGTTTTATTCTTATGTTTAACTCACATTCTACGATAAGCCGTTACTTAAGCTTAAGTCCTAAGCCGTAAGAAATTGACCAGTCACAGTCGAATGTGAGAAGAATAATCGATTATGATTGGTCAATTTCTTACGGCTTAAGGCTTAAAGCTTAAGTAATGGCTCCTTGTAGAAAGCTCATAAGACCGCCTTAAGTCTAGTCTTAAGATGTCATAAACCAATCGCGGAGTTGTAATCTTAAAAGACATTATTTAAGGTGTTCTTGAAATAAGAATGTTTGACGAATACCAGCCACAGAGTCGTGCAGCATCGAGAGACGTTACTTAAGATAATCTTAAAATAAGAACGGATTATGAATACCGGCTAGAGTCTCGTCTCTTTGTCCCTTGTGCACCGATTCTTAAGAGCACAAGCACCCGCTTTCACGAATAATTCGGCTGCGAAATAGCACGTAGCATTCACGTAGGACACGTGCGCGGGCGTATGCGATTTGGATATGCGTATACGTAGAGGCGTTAACGCTCACATGCTGCGTGAGAGAGCACCGTGCACAGCAGCGGCTATACACGTCCGAATAAATATTGTTATAGACGATGCAATATCGTGCCGTCGAGCACCAGCACTGAAAGCACCCTCGAAAAGCACCCCCACTGTCGACTGTCGTGCAACCTGAAGCTCCCTCCTGAGGCGATCTCGAAATGGTGCGGTGCAAAAGCCATAATAATAACCGAAATGGTAACGATGGATTGTTATTACGAACGACGTCGTTCGTTTTGCTGCGAGAAAAGCGACTTAGTAATATTCGTGAAATTATATTACTGCATCGGCAGAGTTGGGAAGCGTTACTTTTTCGTTACTTTTTACAATAAACAATTTGATAATGACAATTGTAATTTTTTATAACTAAGGTTGTACTAAGGTTGGAAAAGTCGATTTTTTTAGCACAACCTTAACATTTAGTTAAAAAAAATTGCAACGTCATCATGATTATTACAAAATGTAATAAAAAAGTAATACTTCCCAACTCTATGCATCGGCTATTAATCTGTGAATACTTACGAAAAATCAGCGAAAAAACAGATAATCCGCATAAGCTGATTGTTAAAAATTTCTCTGAAGAAAATGTGAAATTATTTTAAAGATTAGTTAATGCGGATGAGATGTTTTCATTGAAAATTTCGTAAGAATAGCGGAAATTCATAACCGATATATATGTATATATATATATATAATATCACGAGAAAGTTACAATCGATTATTGACGATGACTGGTTTGCGTTACGTTTTTCCGAGGTCG